GGGGGCCGCAGTACAGACCCTGTTTTGATGGCTTCCTGGGCGACCGCCCAAGTCGCCCACCCCTGGCCGGCCTTGCTTACGATTCTGCTATGATCAACTCTTGTGATTAGAGCCGTATATTGGGAGAGTTTGGGGGAGGAGCCGGTGAGAGCCGGGATGGAGCAGTGAAAGCGCCGCCACCGCCAGCACCGCGTCTTCCCCCCGTGATGTTCCTCCTAAGTAAAATGAAGTCCAGATGACATCGAAGGAGCCGCGAACCGCGGCCCAGGTATTTCTTTTTTTTTTTTTTGTTTCTGCATGGGGCTGAAATTACACGAATGGGTAAGTGTGACAGATTCGTGGAAATAGGGAGTTGCAAAGTCATGAGTGCGTTTACTGAGCCAGAAAAAGTGACATTGACGAGAAAAGTTTTCTGAAACATGAGCCGAAATTGCGAACATGGGGTGCGCCTTCTGGCTACGGGGTCAAAATTGCCACGCAATCGTGTCCATGGTTTGAACCGATCTCTCAGTCGTTGCCGCGACGGTGAAATCAGGAGAGACCGGATTCTGAATGTCGCTGTGACGACAACGTCACGTGCGTTGCGCTTTCAGCTACGAAGATTGGCAAATTTCAACTCAAAACGTGCTGAAATGAGATAATTGAATACATCTTTCTCTAGAAATTGTGGTTAGAGGGTATTTGTTGAGCTTGTTTTCCTCCACTAGGGGAACATTGCTGGCTAGTGGTTGGTCAGAAGAGCTGTCAATCAACGCACCCAAGGCCATTGAAATAATTTCGGCCTACGACATGCTCTTGTTTTTGCCCTATTCTTGCCAATGAATGGCCCAACTCTCTACATATACGGCTCTGCTTGGGATGACACACTGGCGACTCTCTCGAATAAAACACAGGGCATTTTTGTGTCCTTATTCGAACATGATTCTTTCTTTCTTGGTTCGAAAATCTTTTGAATAATTTATAGAGGACCATTTATCAGATTTAGTAGGCACATTTGTTCTCACAAATACCGCACGATTTTCTGTCCAGTGAAGTGCAGTTCCAGGGTCAGCTCACAGATGGCGTCAGCGTGCCAATCTGTGAGCCCTCGGATTTGCACGCTTGTCCCCTCGGAAGATATTTCAAGAATTCGGTCCTGAAAAAACGAAAGTGCTTTTTTTTTCAAACTTTTTTTTTTAAATCGTCTGGTTGGGACACGCGTAACAAAAAAAAAAAAAAAATTACGCGAAAAAAAAAATTAAAGAGCAATATTGATGGCGACAGATTTATTTGTAATTCTGAGCGCAAAGTCCATGACGTCACGGAATGGTCATTCGCTCAACGAGATGGTCATTCGCTTTTTCGACCTCAACGTGAAGGCGAGGCAGTTCCATCTCTCCTCCACGCGCCCCACATGCCGAGAGAGACAAGTGGAAAGGAGGTGACTATTCCGTCAAAATCGCGTCTCGCGCCGTCAATATTGCTTTAAAAAAATATATTTTCGCGTAAAATTAATTTTTTGACACGCGTGTCCCACCCAAACTGTTAAAAAACATTCTTTTTAGGGGTCCTTTAAGAAAATCTGGGTCTGTCTTCGTGAGACGTACGTTCGCGCGCTTAGGTTTCTCCGTAACGCTCATTACAAACAACACTTCTAATATTTGTTAGCAAGGTGTCGGTGGATGCCTGCGGGGCACTATATCGTTATTATGCAAACGAACTTCGCCGTGCCATACACAGGCAAACATCACAGTAATGGCCCGTTCACACACGTATGACTGCTTAGGTCTGTGTTCCTTAAAACCTCTTCAAATTACGGGGGTACACTAGAGAACACGCTGGCGCCATCTATGCGTTGGCTTGTTCACTATTTGCGAGATTCAATATACCTATTAGATATGGTGGATATTGTCAAACCTTTTTCCGAACCAAAGAAAAAAAAAAAAAGGAAGAATGATGCACGAAAAAATAGGAAATATACGAGACTGCCAAGTGTTTGTCGGATAAGTGGCGCCAGTGTCTTCTCTCGTCGGAAGAGATCAGAAGAGGTTTCAAAGCACACGGTCCAAAATAGTCGCTAGTCTGTGAACGGGCCTTTACAGTCAACTGTAGCCCGAAGATTAGTGCTCGTAGCAGAAACAGAGCGACACAAAGGCTGAGACGCGCAACTTGTGGAAATGGCCTTCGCTACCCGCGCGACAACTAACCTGCCCACGGGTTTTACCCCGGCTCCACTAAACTTTGGGAAAGAGCTCGCCTTTCCCCTGGGAAGTGGCCTTCTTAGCACAGCTCCAGCAAGCCTGCAGCGCACAACTACGGAGTTCACTGAAGATCTCGGTAAACCCTTCATGGAGAACTTGCCAGAAGCTCGGGAAAGTATTGACCTCTCGAGACTGAAGCAGGCCGACCAGTACAACAAGGAAAAGTGAAATCTGCAGTTCAAGGTAGGAGATCTCGTGCTGAGGTGAACTCATCCGCTGAGTGATGATGTCAGAGCTTCACCTGTCTTGCGTGCGGTACAGGCGAAGGCAGCGCCAGCTGAGGGGAGAAAGGACAAGCACTTCAAGGGCTGGGGAAGAGGAGAGAAACCCCCTCTTCCTCACTAACGTTCCTCTTTCTCCCCTCACCCTCGATTGCCCTCCTCTCCCGTCCCGCCTTCCTTGTGTTCGCCCTTTCTCTCTTCGCCTGGCGTTGCCTTCGCCTGCACTGCACACAACCAGTGACTCGGAATACAGCCAAAAAGGTGGGAGGGCCCCTACAGCTTTAGCGAGAAGTTTTCCAATCTGGTCTTACGAGCTGATGCAGTGCGAAGCTTGTGAAGTGTGCGGATTTATTTATGTCGCCTACTTTTTAGTTTTCTTATAAATAGGAAATACTTTATAGTTTCTTATGAACCCTAGGAGGTTCCAAACGTAAAGGAAGCCATCACACCGTCTCAGCTACGACCTTCGACGGAAGGTAAAAGAGAGAGGAAAACTCATACCATTTTCATGTTCTATTTGGTTTTTTGAAGGGGAGGAACGAGTAACCTTGTCCCACGTCGGCATTTGGGCACACGTCGTTCTTGGGTACGGCCACTTGTTTTTGCTGTGCCGTGGCCTCAATTAAGTTTCCCTGTTTTAGTGGCAACGCGACAGCTATAGAAGTGCAGCAGCTGGGACGCAGCCCCTATCGTCGGACCCGCGTCCGCCCATCTGCAAGGACTCGGCCCTCGGAGGCCCAGGAGGAGGGCCACCTCAAGGCGTCCCAAGCTTATTTGTTGTCTTCAAGTGTGGGTACCCTGGTGGCAAAAAACATTCGGCCGGGTTTTTAAACCCTCTCTGGCCATCTCCACCGCGGGGTGGCGCTCCGCCGCTGATGAAATGCCGGCGCAGTATGTGCGGCAAGTCGTGTGGGGTCGCGGGGGAACCAGTGTATTGCATCATTCTCTGACCGGGTAGCAGCCAAGGAAACCCAAACAAGTTGTAGGCGCTTAGGATGCAAGAGCAAAATATTTAAGCGAGCACACAAAAAAAAAAAAATTAAATGTTGTATATCAGATCTAGAGCCCGTTTGTTTTAAGGAGTTTTTAAGAATTATATTTTTGTTTTGGGGTTAAATATTTGGAAAACCAGTGGCGGTATATAAAAATTTGAGGTGTGCATTTGGATAGAAGAATGCCTATCGCGTCGTTTTTAAGAGCTGAAGTAAACACTTCTGTGGCCAAGTCAGCACGGTATATTGCAAAGACATCGCTTCAATTATGGTTACGAATTATCTACACACTCTCAAATAATCGTGTTTAGGGCAACAATACGCGTCGAACCTGTGCGATAAGCGCAACTTGCTTGGGATATCTATACCTGAACCAGAAAAGCTAGATGATACATACCCAGCCTTCCTAAAGAAATAAAACAATAAAATGACATCAATTCAAATATTTGAGAAAACTAAGAACATTGCCTGCGCTTTTTCCGAAACTATTAAGTTGATTCATCTCACAAAACTGTATAAATCACAGCAACCAAGCTGCCTTATTTGACGTATTTAAACTGCTGCTTTTTAAAACTCACAATGAACAATCTATTCGCGGAAGGTTAAACTCTTCATATTTGAACTTTGACCTATCGAAATTGATTTGTTTTTCAAGCGTCTGTAAATGTTCAAAAGAGATTACCTGATCGTAGAGTGGTGGATAGTAGTAGTTTCCAATAATGTATTTGAAGTCATAGGCTGTCTAATACCCGTGCCACACGGGGCAACTCGAATGCCATTTACAACGAATGACATTTGTGTGATAGGCCAATCAGCTCGCAATCTGTCGCGCGTGGAATGCGCCACGCCCGGAGTGTCGCGCGCTGATTGGCCGTCCGCTCAAATGTCATTCGTTGTAAATGGCACTCGAGTTGCCCCGTGTGGCACGGGTATTAATTTTGACCCATCACATTTTTTAACAGGATTCCAGGTCCAAACTTCGACACGACAGGAAAAGAAGAGCCGAGCACAATCGGAACGCCAGCCCTTTTGCACCGTGCTATTATAATCTATCTCATGGCGGTATACATTATATTTAGGAATAAAATAATTCGAGTGCGGAATACCCTTTGCTGAGCCGCGATTCCAAAAGACAAATGACGTCAAAGCTGGTAGATCTAATATTTTACACAGATGGAATTATGCTCATATTACAATAAAAGTAACAAATAACTAAAGAAACTCCGAATATTTCGTAATTACGCTACATTACGATTATTACTTCCACGGAAGTGTAAACATGACAAAATTACGAGTAGCGAATTACGAGTAAACCGCCACTGACACCGGATTCCTTCCCACGTCATACAGCGGTTTGCAGCAGCCGGCACTGAGTGACATTTCGACCCGGTCACTGAAAAGAAAGGTAAGACAAGGAAGCAAATGGCAGCGACGCACACACTGCTAAATGTTTCGACGCCTGACGTAAGGTGAGAGGTAAGGGCAGGCATACGACCTCGCACGCGCCCTTAGAAAAGCCCAGAAAAAGGCCGGAAGCCAGCAGTCCGTCCACATCAACGTCGAGAGGCTTCGGTCAGAAACTGTCTGCGGGAAGTACGTTGCAGTCATACTCATCACGGTCATCGACACCCGGAACATGAAGAGCTTCACGCTGTGCCTATTTGTCGGCTTATTGCTGATAGTTGCCTGGAGCAGGTAAAGGCTTTCGTTTACATTCCCAACGCCTCTACACTTTCAGAAATAGAGGGTGTACACGGGTACACCCCTAGTTTGTCCCATATGTAACACCCCTAAACTACATTTCGACGTTCTGTTCACCCACGACGAGCTGGCGATACCAACTTTTACGAGCAGCTTGATAGTCCAGCGATACAACTTATTAAAAAAAGCTAATGTACAACTTAAAGGCTACAGTAACACAATAAAGGTTTTTTTTGGCCCTGCTGCAAAACCTCAGTGATTTTTTTTTTTTTTGTAGTCTTTTATACGCACATTAGTTATTTAGTACGCTATATCAAGCCGCTCGTAAAAGTTGGTATCGCCAGCTCAATGTCAGTGGACAGAACGACGAAATGTAGTTTTGGGGTGTTACATTTGGGACAAGGGGTGTACTCTTGTACACCCCTATTCTTGAGAGTCTATGTGCGGCTCTATATCGGGAACAGACCCCCGAAAAATTCCTGTTCTTACTCTACAGCGAAATCTTGAAATTTCGCGTGTCAAAATCCAGCGAAATGACATATTTTTTTATCTCTACTTTGGGTGGCTTTCTTACGGTAGCATTTGTTCAATAGGGAATTGCCGTACATCCACAAAGACTCCCGATTCTACACTGCACGGTGCTGGGCTCAAAACACAGATCATTGATTGGCCGTTAATTATTCGAGCCAATGAAATGGACAATACGAATCTGAATCAAACGGACAAAATAGGGTTGGCAGAAAGTCGTCGATCCGTTTTGCCGGGTAGCCCGCACTGGGGGGGGGGGGGGGGGGGGGGGGGGGGCACTGGAGCATAGCACTGATGGCAGCTCTCGTTACTGGTCCGATTGAAGACAAGCCAATCTCCTGCGTGTCGAGTGCATCCCGGTGCAGTGCGCATTCAAGGTCCACTGAGAGTCCACCTACGAGTGCGGTGTGGGCGCGCGTCGCTTCGAGTCTGCAAGCTCGAGCAGCACCGAGCTGGCCACCAGCCCGAGGTCCACATGCGCGCGTCGACGTGTGTCCCTGTCCGTTGGGCGACGTCTTGCCAGCATTCCTCTTTGTGCGCAGATGTTCACGTTACTTTTTCACGTGTTCGTGTGTGTTGCCCCTTGGCGCGCTTATGCCCGTGTCCCACTAGAGCGACAGACAGAAACAAAAGACAAAGACAAGCCTCAAACCAGAGTCTTTCGCGATTTTAGAGGCTTTGTAGACTAAAGGAGGCTATGCTCAAACACGAGCATCGTGCACGCGAGGGTATCTCTGGCAGGCTTGCAATCGCTCGTGCTTACTTCACGAGCACCGAACGACTAAACGCCTGCCAAAGGCACCATCGCGAGCATGCTGCATGGGTTTGAGGCTTGTCGCTGTCTTTTGTTTCTGTCTGTCGCTCTAGTGGGACACGGGCATTAGACGTTCAGCACGTACTGTGATACCGTTGGCAGACTGGTACCAGGGGGGTAATCCCGGAAGCAGAATGCGACAAATCGTAAGCGCCGTCGTCGGTGACCCCGAGAGAAAGAACGACAAGCTGACGGCGAATTCCACCGGTCGTTATGAAGCCCGCCGGGATCCGTAGACGAGATCGGAGACGGAGCACGCGATCCGAAAGCAGTCGCTCCGCCTCCGGAACCCCAGGGGAACATGACGGAGTCCTCCGGGATCGGCGGATGCCTCCCCGTCATTCACCTTCCCGGGAATCCCCTTCCCGCGGTCCAGAATCTCGAAGCCCATGTTTTTGCAACCGCGGCGCTAATAGCACGTGTTCAACTAACGAGCGAAATTAATCATGATCTGAAAGATGTGTGTCAGTAAGCGATGTGCATCAGTGTAGCTCACTTGCCTCTGCATAGGAATACCCGTGAACGGTGTCCAAGCACGCCTCCATTTTCGGCCTCCTTTTGCGGAGGTCCGAAAAGTCAGTCGACTTCATACGGGACATACAAGCGATCCTCATCGTCGTGCTACTCGAGCCGCTGCTGCTGAAGGAGCTGCTCGAGCAACTTGACAACAAACTGTCATCAAGCAGCAGCAGCAGTAATGGGGGCGGCACTTCGCGAGCGGCCATTGCGAATTCTTTCGAGGCGAGGTGCCCGGCGAGAAAGGCTCGTGAGGCTGGCTTCCGGTCGCATCGGCCGAAATCGGTGGAGCGACTTTTCTTAAATCCGAATGGAGATCTGGAATGGGAGCTGACCCAAGTTCAACACGTCCGTTTCGATCCCGATGGCGTTATGAAATAGGCGCGTTCCAGAAAAGTCGATCCCGGTGCGTTCCAAACCGACCATAGAAATCCGCCATTATAGTCTCGCTTTCGCACTGCGGTAACTACCAGAGTCGCTATGTAATAATTTGAAGAACACTGTTTTTTACAAACTCTAGCCACCCATTTGGCCTCTTAGAGTGACGGGCTGTAGAGCTTCAATTCAACTATGCCAGCTAAAAATAACAGTTAAAAGGAAGTTAGAAACGTTTAGTTAATTAAGCGGCTGATTTCGTATTAATACACGTGCCCAAACGTCTTCCGCGAGCGATATTCTCCAAGTATATTTGTTTTTATATTTCCAGTGTCTTTCATTTTTTTCTTTTAAATATTTTCTGCCTTAGAAAACCCACCCAGTGCACCTAGCCGTGTGTGCTCAAAGGCTTTCGAAAATTCTTAAAAATAAGGTGATTGAGAAAAAAAAAGCTGCTCTTTCCGGGTACAAGCTGCCAGCACGGCGCTCGATAAGGATTAAACGAGACAAACATACTAATAAGCTATAGTTAACTGGCTGGGCAGCAGCTTGCTGAAGAGACTTTTTGTGCTCGTTCGCCGTCATTCGCCCAAGAAGTTTTTTTTAAAACATTGTTGAAACGGTCGTAGTTGCCTTTGAGAACACGTGGATATTTTTACGAAAGCGCAGCACCGCAAGAAAACGGAACAACTCGTCGAACGCAAGTCTCACCGGTCTCGCGGCGCGATCAAAGCTTTCATTGGCACGTCGAAATGCTTCGTCTCTGTGCCTTCGTACACTTAGATACCTATCAAGAATCGACGCCGTGGCAAAGTTTTGAAGGCGTGTTTTATATCGGTCACACAGCTAGCTGTTCCGGCTAGTTACTATCAATAGGGGGGGGGGGGGGGATTTGTTCGGTTGCTCCTATGCACTATTAACCATGGCTAAATTCAAAATCTACTCTAAGGGATCACAGGACAGCGTAAATAGAGCAATGCTGCGGAGCAAGGTACATTTTCGAACGCAAAAGTGTGAAATGGCGAGATCGAAAATATTTGAAACGGTGCCCATATGGTCGTGTGCAATCTGCTGCCGTCGCAGCCGCCGTAGGCCAACCCACCTCCCCCTCTTCCGTCGCCACTGGGTCAAGCTCGTTTTTTGGACCGCGAGTGCCGCAGGTTTAGTCATCAGAGTAAAATAAAACGCTGCTCCAGGGGCACATACGTCTTCACTCACGTTGCACTCACAAAACACATCCGCACGGCGTTGATTCTTGATCGGTATCCAGGTATGCGAAGGCACGGACGCAGCACTTCGGCGTGCCATGGAAGCTTTGATCACGCCACGAGACCGGCTAGACTTGCATTCGACGAGTTCCGTATTTTTCCTGCGGTGCTGCGCTTTCGTAAAAAATTTCTACATGTTCTCAGAGAAAGCTACGACCGTATACAAAATGTTTAAAAAAAAACTTATTTGGCGAATGACGGCGACCGAGCAGAAAACGTGTTTTCGGCACGCTGCCGCAGTACCTCTGCAACGCTCCAGAAGGTTCTCTCCTCCGCCTTGTGATGTACGCGAGGCGGTAGCTTCGTGCCCCGGCCAGAGGCAAGCAGACTCAGGACGCAAAGATGCGCTAAAAAAATAAAAAAAAAAGCTTTTAAACGTTTTTATATTTAGCGTTTTTTTTTAATGCCATAAAATGCTGTCTTTGCTGTATTTCAAAAATGATATAATTTATTGGTTTTCCAAGATGCTTGGCAAGTTTCTAATTAGACTAATGTGTTTATTTTCACTAATTAAAAGGCTATTTAGAAAATTCTGGGTAATTATGTACGTAATTAGTGAGCGTTTTCCAATACTTGACGTCCAACGTGAGTGGCAGTTTCTTCACGGAAAGGGTTTCTTTTTTTTTTTTATCAACCATCTTGTTTTTAGGAATTTTTGAAAGACTACGGTTAAAAACTGGGTATCATCAACGGCTAAAGACAATTTACAAAAAGGGCATACAAAAGATGCCCTTCCGGTATAAAGTAATCTAGCGGAACAGACTTCGAGTGTGAGATGATAATTAGAGAATTGAGTACCCAAACTTCAGTAATTAACTTTTAAAACGTTCGCCTTAGCTGGCATATTCCAATTATAGATCTGTTGATAATACAATTGATGCAAAGGTGCAGGCGAGCTGAACAAGAATAACGATAATAATCCTTAGAGAAGGGAAACAAGGGGAACAAAGGACAATCCCAAATCTCCGAACCACAGCTAGGCCCCCTCTCCAGGAACTAACATCGTTAGGGATCGGTTCCCTGTCGTCACGGTATTCATTATTAATTCGATAGATTTTTTTAAGGATAACAGTTACATAGATCTTTAGTTTGTCCATGGGGCTCATTAGATAAATAGTTGTCACGACCATTTGGAAATTCAACTCGAACCTCTTGAATAACTGATTATTTGAAGGTTGAATAGGTCACGTTGTAATTGCAGTTTGGAAAGCAGACATTATCAGATGCTAAATCCATTAAACGTCCATCCGAGAAAAGGCGTTGCGGTCTGAAATATCCGTCAATCAGATTTGGCGTTTTTGTCTCCCGATTGCAAAACTGAACGCAGGAAGATCGCCGGAAGAGCGACGAAGTCGTTTCGCTCGCGTCGCCCCTATCTTGGCATCGCGTCTTCGGTGGATGCGTTGACGGCACAATGAGAAGCTCGTGACCAGTTGCCAGAAACGTTACTCTTCTGCGCATGAGCGTGAGCGGGGCTCACGCTCATGCATGCA